CAGACAGTTCAGGGAGAGCGCCCAGCGTCGGTATGCAAGTTTTTGGATTTAAACTGTGAAATCTGAAAGCCCCAAATCACCGCCAAGTGCGGGGAAGAACAAGCAAGAAAATATAATTTAGTTGGAGCTGTTGGTCTTTTCCAGTTGCCAACTCTCGTTTTAGTTTCCTGGCCTGTAACCTCGTTAGAGTTGGAGGAGCGTTGTAAAACTAAACAAAAAATTTCTGAAGATTATATTTTCTTTAAACGAATGCAGGCCTGTTTGAAAGAAAGGATTCTGCTGTTCGTACTTAATCTCAGATTTCGTCCTAGTGGCCTTGCAGTACAAAGTCAGTTCTTAAACACTTGTAGTCGTCAATCCTAATGTAATCATGGTGGTGGAAGGGTAGGTCTAGTACTTTAATAAGGTGTTTTTAGATTATTGCGCTAATGTAAATTCTTTTATTTATGAGTTGCGGAATTATTGACCATCAAACAGCGTGTTCTTTGTGGTTTTATTAAGCCGTAGTTTAATAAGGTAGAATTCAAGAGTATTGGATTGATATTTAATATCTTATCACGGGACGTCTTGTTTAGTTTTTATTACAAGGGAAGGAGATAAGGGCTTTACCAAAGCAGGAAGACTTTCAATTAGTTGTGGCTAATTCCATTCAATTGGCTCTTGTGGGGGGTCAGGGTGCTGCATTCAGGAGATGTGAATGAGTCTATTGACCACATATGGAACCAAACACTTGAATGCCTGGAGGGAAACACCTATGTATAACAGAGGGATGAAGAAGAAAGTGAAGACAGTGCTTCCTGGAGTGAGTTTAGAAACACTTAGATTACTCACTGACTGAGTCCTAACTTTATTCAATAGTTTCGCAGTGCCAGGTAGCCTCTTGGATCACGCTAGTGTAAATTTTTTGGGGGGTGTGGGGTGAATTAGATGTCTTTCAAGACATAACTGTTGTTGCCCTTGATTAGAAGTTGAGTGGAACCAAAGGGGTTTGATACCTATTTAAACATTGTCTTAAAGGTAGCTGACCCAATTAGGATTTTGTTTTGCAGATAATTTGGTGGCACACTACAAACAAATTACAGTTTATTTGGTTAGCACAGTCTTTAATTACATTTCCGCCAGCAGTAAATGGTCTCAATACAAGTCCGCATTCCTTAAATGTATGTGAAAATAAGTTCCACTTGTATAAATAAGCACCCAGCCTGTTGTCGGAAGCCCTGCTGTGATCACCCAGTGCGCAACCCTGTCATTCTTGGACCTCTGTGACTTCGAAGCATCTTTGTAGGTGTCACCGAACCATGTGGTCTAAGTTGCTTATTGTAAATGTTTCTTTTGTCCGTTGCCGAAGCCCTAGAGAGGTCTCTTCACCTTTGCAAAAAGAAAGAAACAAGGAAATTGTATTTTACTTTCTGTTTTTTGGTGTTTTGGAATAGGTCTAACAGACTGTGGGCCGTTGCTTAAATTTTACATAACTGGAAAAGCTCTTAGGCAGGCAGTTTCATAGTTCAGGAACTAAGCAAAAAATGCATGTTGTTCCTCTCTGTGACTTCCTTTCCCTTTCTTTATAATTTAAATACCAAAAGCTCATCTTTGTGCTAGTTTATGAAAGTACCCTTTGGAAAAAGTAAAATGTTTCTTTTGTTTCATTTGTTGAATTTACAAGTTAAAAACATAAGACCCTGTGTATATATTTTCCCCTACTTTATTCAATTATAATTTATTGCTGGAGGATCCCCGTGTGTAAAAAGTTGAACAGTTTGAGGCATAACGTAATAATACTGTACTCCGTATTTCAAAAAGTAACCTCTAATACTTTAATGAAAGTGGCTGCTAAAACTGTACCTGTTTGGAGACTGGCCTAGAGTTTGTGATTGCAGAGTTTGGAACCTAAAGAGGAATGCCTGTTAGAATGTTATTCAGCCAGAAGAGGGGAAAGTTGTGCAGTTGCCAGAGAGAGCTTCAATTATTATTAAATTCTCACTGGAATTTCAGAATTGTTTCTCTTCTCAGGTAGAAATGTTTGAGTTCTCAGCAGAGCTCAGGTAAAGTGTGGAAAGTAGTTTCTGCTGGTGTGACTTTTGTAGCGTTGGCCTGTTATCAATCTTCTGGTCTGTACCAGAAGTGGGGGTGGGGTAAAGGTAATAGTCCTTATGGTTTTCACAGCTGTTTTTCTATATTTTCCAGACTAAAACTCAGAACATAGCTGGCTGATTTATGAGTCACTTTGGATCGGTGTCTTAAAACAGCTACAGCCGAGCTTTTTGTTTTTCAGCTTTCCAGCGTTCTGCTGAATTAGCAGCTCGGCAGGCCCCAGTGGGATTGATTAAGAAGCTGTGCCGTATTTGCGTTTTAAAATTTGACTTGGAAGTCAGACTTCCAAAAGCTAAGAGGAAGAAAATGATGGCTGGAACCAAATGCTGTACATTAATTTTTCTCATATATATTTATTTATTTGTTTGCTAATGGTCATGAAGAGAGACTTCTTGCTACAGTTTGATTTTTTCCAAGGATTTAGCTAGCTATGTTCTTTATCAATAGTGAACACCTCCCTTAGCTCACCCTTTTATTAACCTCACTACAACAGTTTTTTAGAAAAGTTTCCTGGGGAAGATGTTCATTAATAGGATTCTGAAAATGAAAAACCTGCCTTCCTTACTGAATGTTTCATGCTCTGGGTTTAAGAGAACATCGTCGTTACATAACTTGAGTCTCTTTTTAGTGGTTTAGCCATAAAAACAATATAGGGAAGATTTAGGAAAATGTGACATCCTTTAACTGGAAAGTAATCATTTCTGAAATGTAAACTATATTAAATCTAAATTTAGGTGCATTTAAAGCTTCGTGGCTTTAAGTCTTTAGCAGTAAAAGTCACTTAAGGGTTGACTTTTTTCTCCTTCTCCCACATATATTGTGGTTTTAATAGCACACAGAACTCAGGAATGGAAGTATGTTGCAATAACTGAAATATTTAAGGTTGCCAGCTCCTGCTTCTGAATCCAAAATGAGTAGTCTGCAGCACGTGTACCTGTCTCTGAAGGCAGTTTCTCATCTGCAGGGTCTTTTCTTGGGGAAGACTCTCCTTCCCTTGGTGGTGGCAGAAAGTTAAGCGCTCAATCTCATTTCTCATACAATTGCCCTGTGAAATAATCCTTACAATGAAATGGAGATTGCTGGTGTAGTTTAGGTTTTTTTTTTAATTAAAAGGAAAATCACTGTATTAAATGAATGTAAATGCTAGATTGGTTCCTCCCGCTTTGCTTTTAAAACCTGAAACGGTGGGGGAGGGAGGCATGCAGGTTCCGTGTTCCCGAATTAAGTGGGTCCAAATGAGACTGTGGACTCAGGCTACCTCCCAGGTGAAGGATTCTTTCCTTGGTTGTTTTTTCAGCCATGTGGGAAATCTGTGACCGTCTGGGGTGCTAAAAGCACACAGGTTTGGTCTGAATCCTAACGTGAGCTGTTGGGCTCACGGTTTCTTTGATGAAGTCCAGATGGACTTGAACTGCACTGGGAGGGAAAGTGTCTGGCCCCAGCCAGCATGGTGAGCATGCACAGCAGTGGCTGTAATTGCAGGATTTTTATAGCTTAAAGTCTGTGCCAGGTTTTTTTCATGTTATAACTCTACCAGAACAAATCTACTCATGTCTGCTGCTGTCTGGTAGGTCTTTAGGCAAACATCTTTTGAATAAAACCTTTGCAGTCTTTTTTTTTTTTAAGGTAATAGAGAGAAATCCAGGTTTACTCTCAAAACAAAAACTCAAAGACTAAAAGAACTCTGCTTTGTAGTTGTTCACGAAGCACTAAGTAACACTGTGCTTCTCTGGACCTGATTTCTCTCCATTTTTATATTGTGAGCACATAGTCTTGCATGTAACATGGTTCACACTTTCCAGCTTCACCCTGAGAATTGAAACTTTAGTTGAACACTGAAAGAATTCATGAAGTGTTGGCTTACCTCTTTCTGTGGAGGTATCAAGCCACCTTGAGTACTAGTGTGGGTTCCAGTACCTGTTCAGCCATTTCATGTTCATTACCCCATTTTGAAGCTATGGAATCAAGGGTATTAAAACGTACAAGGTCGTGAGTTCGGTTCCCGGTACCGGAGAAAAACCACAAGAAAAACCATAAAACGTACAAGGAATATAACCATGCACTATCTTCCAGATTTTGTTTCGTATTTCCAACTTACATGCTGACATGACTTTCTAATTTACTGGGTGTAGAAAGAAGTTTGTTCTTTTTAGGAGTATTGCTACCTATGGAAATCTAGTTAGAATGAGTTATGTAGTTGCTAAGTTAGACTGAGTCACTGAGATAGAAGCACATTTATTTTAGTGATTGAAATCCGTTGGTTAGATGGTTGAGGTAAATTATGTTAGATTATCATATACTGAGGTTTGGGGAATCCAAGAAAACAGAGGACCCAGGTAGTTTGTATCCTTTTGAATAGACTCACTCACGTGAGTCATCACAGAGTCATGATACTGTAAATGGATTTGTACCTTAACCCAGAGAAACTAATATGCATGCAAAGCAATTTCTTTTTTTGTTTGGCTGTAATAAGGCCACTGATGTTTAATTTTGTGACAATAAAAAGTTTTCTGTTCAAGGCTGCCCTTTCTGCAACCTGCCTAATTAGCTACTTTTGTAAGCTATGAGGTCATCATATCAGGTTGGAAGTGGGGAGATGGGAGGGTAAAGCAAAACTACCAGTTCACAAAAGATCTGTTCACTGTGGGCCAAAAAACATCTCTTAAAATGTTTGTGGGCTCAAAGTATTTGAATCTGCCAGCCTCTTAAACTAATTTTGTCCTCAGAGTTTGTATTTTGGAGTTTGACATTTTGGTTTCCATCTAGTTTGTAGACAGAATGGACCAATTATTTCTCTGGTTGTCACTGGTGTTAATGGATATTTCATACGCTCACTCTGTCTTGCATTTCATTAAGCACTACTAGTATTTTTAGAAAGTGCTTATAATTTTGTGTTTGCTTTCTTATAGGGACCTAAGTCACAACAGATTATCTTTCATCAAGGCCAGTTCCCTGAGCCACCTTCAAAGCCTTCGAGAAGTGTGAGTCCTGATGATTTTCTACTTGAAACTTGCATGAAATGTATTGCCTCTCTTCCAGTTTCACTTTCCCTGTATGAATGCATGGATTACAATAAATTATTTAAAACTTGTAATGTGGGAGGTATCTTTATTGTAAAGTTTCCATGTCTATGAATTATAAATCACCTAATTAGCCCCCCGCTTTTCTTGTCATTTATAGGAAACTGAACAACAATGAATTGGAGGCCATTCCAAATCTTGGCTCAGTCTCAGCGAATATTACGCTTCTATCCTTGTAAGTGAATATTAGCAGAATGTGATATCTATGATGGCAGGGACCATATGGAGTGGCATGAAGAGCTTACAAACAAAATTTGAATACTTCCTTCAAGGTATAACACACAAAGGCCCTTTAAGCTGGTTAACTTATTTTCTAGCCTATACAATCCCTCCTAAATTTCCAGTATCCCTTTAACCCATAACAACACATTTTACACATTGCTCCCATTTCTTAACTGGTCTTCAAAATTCAAACAAGCAGCTATTACCCCATGCACGTGTGTATTTACTTATATGCTGTTGACTCAGACTTTAATTCTGGTTTTGCTCAATGGTTGGCTTGGGATCTATGGATTATGTATAGCGTTTTTAGAGAACTATCATCAGAAGTTTTTTGTGGGAGAATAAATGTGAGTTGAGGTATCCTTGTAAGTTTGGTGTCTATGGGAGAAATTAGGGTTTCTAAATCTCTACTTAATATATAAGCTTATGCAATTAAAATAAAGTACGTGATTGAAGTCAGAACTATCATTGCATGTTATTTTGTAAATAGGAATTTTCAAATACAATTAAAATTATGTGACATTTTCTGTATTTTGGAGGGCAGCCAATATATGTATATTCATGTTTGGAGATAGATTTTGGAAGAATTTTGATTTAACAGCATTTAAAGGTGGCATTTAGAGCATTCCTGGTTAAATTTCTAAAGTTAAGTAATTTATTGCCTTAATCTTGAATGGTTAAAAAAATATTTAAGTCACTGAAGTTGAAAACATCCCTCTTTTAAACAATTTAAGAAGAAAACACTATTGTTAGTTGCTTCTGGGAAAGGTGTTGGGGGGTTGAAACTGTATAGTAAATTTCAGAAACAGTGTTCAATTAATTAAAGTGATCACTATCCAATTGCTTACATCTGGTGATTTATAGAGGTTTGTTTTTACTGAGGGCCCAGGTCAGCCAAGTCACAGTGCAGCCGCTGTGTCTGCTTTCTTCTGTTTGAATAAGAACTAAGTGACATTCGATACAGATGTGGTTTTTCCAAAGATCAGAAACAGAAAGGAATAAAAGAAAAAAGCAGTCGGTATGTGACAAATAAACACTAAATTTTAAAAATATTTTTATGCTAGCATTAATACCCATTTGCTTTGTCTTTTACAATTACTTAAAATACTGGAGTCTAAATGGAGTTCTGGTTTTGGTATCTTACAACATCTGTAGCTGTTCTTGTTAACCAAGAGGGCACTTTTAAAATCCCGCTTCGCCCCACCGTCCTTGCCCTGTGTTTTGGCGAATTCTGTCAGCATGTTCAAGAGCACCTTGAGGGTCAGAGCACACTGCATAGCTGATGGGTCTGTGGTGCGATTTTATAACCTGGGAGGGGTGAGGAAGACACTGGAACATTTTGGCAGGGCTTAGTGCTGAAGTACAAGAATTTATGTGGAAATTAGAAAATCCTTTTAGAAATAAATAACAGTGGTTGTACCCTTTAGAGCTGTAATTTGTAAATAGAAAGCTAGGATGACGTCTGAAAAGGGACAAACCTTCAAAATTTGGACTCTTCTTCATATCGCTTTTGTATGTATCTTGTTGTAATCAGTACTGTGTCAGAGTAACCTTACTGATCTCATGGTTTTTGCCCTTAATCTGCCACAGTACATCTGACCAGGGATCACTTTGTTCTTCTCATATAATGGTTGACCCAATTAGTGCCTGCCATACTACATGGACTCTGTGGAGAGTAATTTATATGGTGGACCCAAGCATGCAAAATGGAGAATGAAGGATTGTTTTCCTATCTATGAAATATCTTGTAAAAATTATCTCTTGTGATATTTTCTTCTACAAGTGTTTGTTTTCTCTTGAAGACAGCTTTGGAGCCTCCAGTACACAATTAAGCTTTCTAAAGCACTGAAGTTTCTGTGCTGTGTAGGGTGGAACACTTTTATACAGAAGACAATGAGAGCTAAGTATCAGTACTTAAGTATAAACATTTCTAAAATTTCAGAAGAAAATCTGTTAAACCATATGACATGGCTCAGACTAGAAACTCTCTGCAGTACTGCAACTAAATGTCATATTTTAGTTTCTAGAGCTCTTTGGCCTCTATGTTATCAAGATTACAATTCTACATTCTATGGAAGAAAACAGTTTTCA